GGGGCCGCGCTGCCGCTCCCCCCGCGGGTCTCGCCCCGGGCGCGCTGCGGAGCGGCGCGCGGCTTTCAGGCGGCGTCCTCAAAGACGGTGATGCCCAGGCGTCCCGTCGGGTGCTTCTGGGGCCTCTACATTTAAAAATGGATAGAGCGAGCAAGCAAGCGGCACTGTGGTACTAGTTGCTCCTTCTGCCTGGGATACACTGTGGAGCATGCTTCTTCTCTCTATTGCAGTATTTTGGCATAATGACTTCCCATCAGCAGGAAATAGAGCAGTGTGGTAAAAACAACACTTGGATCTTCTGCGTGCCAACTCTTAAATATGTTAAGAGTTTCCTAACAAGTGACCCTCTGGAACTGGGGCAGAGCAGCAGCAATAGTTGCGACTGCCAAAGGGAGGCTGGATGGTCCTTTACAAGAAAGAATCCACGGAGTGCAGCAGTGGCTGCCCGAAGGGCCATGCAAACAGCATTGGTTTATTTGCATGAAAAAAGACATACATCAGAACAAATCTGCATGCCCCGATCGATCCCATGAATAGCAGTGGTCAGTATGTTGGATATCGATTATTACAGAGCATTTTCAATGTGAATATAAAATTAATTGGTGATCTCTTTAGATGAGCACAAGACAAAAGGCATTAACAGTCCAAAAACTTCATGCCGCTGTTCTGTTTTTGGGTCTCCCCCAGGAAGCAGCAGTGGCAAATATGGAGAGGTTTCAAGGGGAAAGCAGTTCCATCCAAGCTCCCCATAAAACTTTGGGAACCGGGCCGGGGCAGGGGCCCCATCAAAGCCTTCCCTGGAGGTGCCCAAAGTGCAAAGGAGAATTACCCCGTGAGGGTAAAGCTGCAGTCTGGCGTCGCATCCGTCTTTTCACCCAGCGACAGTCCGGACTGCAGCTTGCAGGGAGGGGGTCCCGCTGGGAAATGCTGCCCACGCAGTTCCTTGGTCTGAGGAGGGCGCTCCTGCGGGCACGGCGAGTGCAGGGGCGAGGCAGCGTGGCAAAGCGGACTCGGCTCGGCAACTTGCCAATGTGGAGGGCGGGGGCGTGCCATGTGTCCTCCGCATCTGGGGCATCCTGGCTTCTGCAGTTTGCCAGGACAGGGTTTGCAATATGGATGCCCATATGTCATGAATGCCTCCCTGGACAACGAAGTGGGCCTTAGCTTCTTAAAGAAGGCAGTGCCGAAGCCTCTTTGGAAAGAGAACAGTTTAAATATAAGGATTTTCATTCAGGTTCGAATCCTCCATTCCTGGGCAAGATAGTGGTGGCTACTCAGCTCCAGGTATTCTTTGTAAAGCTGCTCATCTGGATCCGTTTCTGTGTGGTCTCAGGCCTGGATTTGGGCTGGAGACCCATTTGGCTGTCCTCTTGCACTACTTACACCAGGGAATGGCTCAGGGGAGCACAAGCCTGCAGGTTCGCCAGGGCATCTGCATGACTTTCCAGACCACAGTCCTGGTGTCCCCTTGGGCTGCCTCCTGAGTTGGGCTTGAGAAGCTCTGTGCCACAATGTCTCTGAGACTGGCCTTAGATCTCAGGCTTGGGGGACCTCTGTTTCAGCCCCAGGTCTTTGCCTTCCAGGGTGCCCCAAAGTTCAGCCTTTGGCTTCATGACTACATGTGATGCTGACTTGGCACTTGGGAGTCACATGCCCACAGACACATGCGTATAAGCACGCACGCATGCACTCACGCACACAGAGACCATTTCCTGGCCGCTGGAGCAGTACAGCAATGGAGCCAGTAACCTGGGGAGCTCGTCCTTCCGTGGTGGAGGCTTTCAGGAGGCAGTTGAAAAGCCACCTGCTGGGAAGGCTTCAACCTGCAGTCCTGCACTGAGCTGGAAGCTGGGCTCAGTGGCTTCTTGGGCCCCCTCCAGCTCTGCTGTTCTATGATGCTGCGGTTCTAATGATCCTGATGCGGATTGTTATGGTGGCAGAGAAAGAGCCATCTGCCCCCAGTTATCCAAGGGAGGGAGTCCTCCAGAATGCAGGAGGAGGAAATCGGGCAGTGGGGGGCCAGGAAGCCTTGGGGGCCACGGGAAGGGCTTGCGGGGCAGACGTGCTTCCTAGGCTGCGCTTAGTGCAGGGCACCCCGACCTACACGAAGCCCGTGGGAGAAGCCCTTCGAGGACTGGGCAGCAGCAGCAGGAGGGCAGGAACAGGCCGGTCCCCTGCTGCCGCCCCTTCAGCCGGGGTCCTGTGGGCCCCGCTTTTCCTCTTTAGAAAAGCTCAGCTCCAGGTTGCACGCCCCTCTCTTCCTGTGCTGGCCAGCACGAGGCATCTTTCCTTCAAGCTCTGAGGAGACCGCCCGTCTCCACAATGATTCCCCACCTCCCTCCTTCCCCGTTTGGAGAGGCTGACATGCATTAAAATCTGGGCATGGGCCAAGTGGCGCAGTCAGCTGGAGAGGCCCTTGCAGAAGGCCAGAGTGCTCCTTCCGTGTCGGGAGAGCACTCGAAGGCGATGGCACCTGCAAGCCCCGGCACCGTTGCCTGGAATGCAGGGAGGCCAGGCAGGAGTGAGGTGTGGGGCCCTGCCTGCCGTGAATCAACTGACAGGCGGTGGCCACACGGGGCATTTGTATCCACTGGATGCCGCAGGGTTCATCCCTCGGCGATCAGTGGTTGCTGAGACGTGGCATCAGGCCCCCAGCTGCGGTTTGCATGTTCCTGGGAAAACGAAGCTTTACGCCTGGATCGTTGCCTGCTGGAAGCCCCCCACAAACTCACCAGGATTACACTGGCCCTTTCTTTTGACAGCCGTGGAAAGTTTTGTTCACGAAGGCAGTGTGAGGTGTTGCTCTCCCCTTTTTGGAGTATCTGGAGGCTCAGACAAGTGTGGAAACGGTGGGGGCACTGAGAACAGTCAGAGAGCCGGTTGCAAACTGGAGGATCACCAAAGGGAGGCATAGTCACCTGTCCCTTTGGGGAAAAGTCCTCTTTGCTGTGCTGTCTGCTCCCCACAGCGAGACCGGCCTCTCCTGTGGGAAGGCACCATCCTCGCCATGGGTTCAGCAACCCCTGCAACGAGCCACGGGGTGCCGGGATGGCTCGTTGCCCCCAGAGCAGGCCCCCCGCTGGGAGCAGTGCAAGTTCACGCCGCACGACAGCGCGCCCTGCCCAGTGGCCCCCATCCCCAGGGCACTCAAGCCATCTGGCTGCTGGGAAACAGCACGGCGCCTGCTGCTTGCAGCTGGAGCGGAAGACAAAATGTCCAGTAGCCTCCCACCCTGACACAAGCCTGCAATATGCCTGCCCTTGGGGAGCACGTGCAGCTCTGGCCACTCCACCTCGAAAAGCATGTTGACGAGCTGGAAGACGTGGGGGAACGTGCAGCTCAGATGGTGACGGGGCTGGAGCGACCCGCGCGGTGTGGCCTGGAACGAGGGAAGCCCTCCTTATGCTGGAGCCTGCGATCCTCTAAGGAAGCTGCATGCTGGAACCAAAGGAAGCCGCTCTGCATAGGACAGGTGGCTGGACCGTGCAATTCACTGCCACGAGATGCAGGGGCGCCTCCCTGCCTGGGTGGCTTTGAAAGGGACTGGGCGCACCCATGGGGCATGAAGCTAGGAGCGAGACGAAGCACCAGCAGCCAAGAACGGCTGCCTGAACAGAAGAATGCCGGCTGTGCGCAGTGCCCAGGTCGGGGGCAGAATGCCTCTTCATTCCAGAGGGCGTCGTTCTGCCCATTGCTCGCATCTGGGCTGCCCGCGGGCCAACTTTAAGCAAGAAGGGCGTGTGGAGGACAAAGCTGGTGCACCTAGCGACCTCTGTCCAGAAGGGGCCCCCACTGGGCGTTTCCACAGCATGCTTGCTCGTCACTGACTCACTTTCATGCCTGAGCTCCATAGGCACCTCGTCCCTTTCGGAGCCTCCCGCAGTGAATCTAAGCAACAGGATTGACTGTGGGTCTCAGAGCTCGCCAGCTCGCTGCTGCTTGGGGAGTCATCTTGACGGGAGGTTTTTGTTTTATTTATTTATTTAAACAGCTTATATGCTGCCCCTTCGCATAAGCCTTGGGGCGGCTTCCAATCATAAATAAATGCCAACATATAAATACATAAAATAGTGGAGACATCCTGGCAAAGAAGTTGAGAAGAGGTTTGAGAAGGCCTGTTTCTGACCTCCTGAAAGAAGGTGATGTTCAGGCATTGGATAGCATGCCACGTGAGGACAAAAGAATTGGGTTAACTGTCATCCAGTCTTGGATGAGGTACCAAAGCATTGTTAGCCTCTCAACATCAGGTGTGCAGGAGTCATGCAGAGCCTCTGGAGCTACATCAGTCTGGTTTCTGGTCTGGCTCTGGGATAGAAACCATCTTGATCATCTAGCTGGATTTCTTTCACCGGGGAACACAAACCCGCGGTAGCCTTGGGAACCATCAGTCAGGGCAGCCATTTGGGCTGCTCAGCTTGATGGGCCATGAGAGGCCCTCTGTTATGGCAGCTCCTGTGCTTCCTGAAGGGCTGGTCCGGCAGTGACGGGTTCGGGAGCCCAGCTATGGGGAGAGCAGCGCTGCTTTGTTACCAGGGACATGGTGTCGCCTGCCACACACCCCGTGCCCAGGAGCCCTAGTTCCTTCAGAGCACAGCTGCGATCGTCACAATCCCCGGGATAAAATCGATTTCGTAGGAACAAGGTAACGTTCCGCGATAGCACAAAGCACTGAGGGGCGGCCACTTCCTGGTGGCCTGGGCGGTCAGTTCATGGAAGGCCACTTCCTGCGCAGTTCGCTCTCCTTGGGGTTGCACCCGTACGGCAGTCGAGAGGAGCGCCTGCACTTCAAAACATGCATGCACCCCACTGCTCAGAAAGCAGCATTTCACCGCTCTGAAGTCAAGGCTTTTGCACTCTGCAGAAGACCAGGCATGAGTGGATTTTCCTCTTGGGCTCCCTTTGAAGCCTCGCCCTCCTTCCCTAAGCCTTCTCCTCCTCTTGATCCAGTCAGAACAGCAGAATCCAGAAGGGGACCGGGCAGCGGAGGACGCTCAGGGTTGCCAGTCCTGCTCTCTGTTTCAGCCCCAGCATTCCATGGCTTGGAAATGCAGAGAAAGGGTCAGCCTTGAGATCTGGTGCCAGCAATGCCCCATCCATCCCCAGACCCAGGAAACAGAAGCTTGAGAAGAGGCCATCAGGCAGAGCAGACGGAAAGCAGCCCTGAGGCTCCATTGCAGCCGGAGGAGGCATCCCATGCGGCCTGCTAGCAAGGCTGCTGGGAGGGAGCAGCTGGTGGAAATGAAAAAGAAAGGCTGGGGAAACGGGGGCCTCGCGCTACTCCCCTCCCTGAGACGGGGCCACGGAGCCGAGGGCAGCAGGTCTCCTGGGTGTGTGACATCGCCCATCCGGACCCCAGTCCCCTCTCTGTGGAAGGGCTGAGGAGGGGTCTGTGGCACAGCCTGGCTGGAATGACCTCTGAGGGTGTTGGCACCTTCAGGAAAGGAGGAGTGCCATCCCAGACAGCCCTGGAGCCGTGCTCCATGCAGCTTCTGACTCCACACCTTTTGTGCCTGTACAAACATGGAACTGGCTGGGCTGGGTACTTTAGGCCGTTCATACATGCAACAGCTTTATAGGGGAACAAATTCCAGAGGCCTGGGGAAATGATGCATTTCCCATCCTCTTCGACGGCATGGGAACTGGGCCACTGCGGTGCTGGGGTCCCAGCATGGCGCAGCCCTGCACAGGTTCCCACCCGCAAGCACCGTGCCCGTGCCAAGCCGAGGCAGCATGTCACACGCTGCTCCCCCACAGGGTGGGCATGCCCAGAGCAGCGAAGCTGGGGGCAGACCGTGCCCTCGGGCTCCTTCGAGCTGCCGCCACCCACCCCATTAAGATGCCGGGCATTCCACAGGAAGGGGAGCCTGCGCATCCTTGCGCTTGCGAATGCTTGCTTGTTGGAAAAGTCTGCAAGAAAGGATACATTCTTGCCTATTATTGGGCACTGGGCTCCATTCAGTCCCATTCTTGACTGGACACATGTGCTTTCGTCTCCCCAGGCGTGGCATTTCATGGAGGCGTGTGGACGGCTTATTTGCTCCTGTCCTTTGCGGCCTTTGTGCTTGGTGGAACAGGGAAGGGAGGCCCGGATGGTGCTCTGCTTCTCAGGAACTGGAGAGGCCGCTGCTCCGTTGCCTGATTATCAGGTTTCATGTTCTCATTCCAGATTTTTTTTCTGTAAAGGCAGAGGAAGGGCAAAGACTAAAAGGCCAGGATGATGGCACTTGTGCTGATGAATGTGGCAGATGGAACAGGCCGCTTCTATTTTAAGATCGGAGGAAAAGCTGGGAGGTGATCTCTGGAGGCTGACAAAGGTCCACAAATGTCTGGACAGGTCAGACTTAAAAAAAAGACCAGCTTTCTCTCCACTCTCCATTCGTCCACAGGGCAGACCTTGAGGGCTGAGTCCGGTGCATCTCCACACATCTAATGGTCTTCCTTTCAATCGACAGGCAGGAGATGGCTGAGCTTCGCCGAAGCCGGCAGGGCAGGGCAGGGCAGGACAGCCTTCTGTGCCCGTGTGCCGCAAGCCCATCCAAAGCTCCCCAGGCCTGCTCATAATTACAGAAACCACTACCGTCAAATGATCAGCTTGGCGTTTCACTGGGTTTCACTCTTGGGCTTTGCTCGTGATTCTGAGGCAGTTGTACATCTACAGAGAATGCAAGTCTTAAGATATCAAGAATACTGTCATGGGGTTTGGATGACTGCATGAGCTGCCTAGGATCCCACACAGCCTGTTGTCCTGGATTGCAAAACGGTCTTGGGCCCCTCCCAACCCAAGTTCTCGATTCTTAAGATTTCTGTCAATAGAGAAAGCTGTGGCAGGACCTCCTGCACGCTGGGAAAGGACAGCGCTGATGACCTGTCATAGATTGGCAATCTGTTTCCAGGTCAAAGAAGGCATGTTTCTTCCCTTGCAGTGGGACAGGCAGCAGAGGCGCATGTGTGGAGCAAGAAGTCAGACCGTGCTGGAACGGGGTCTGAAAGGATGGCAAAGCCCACCGTGCCGTCTGCAGAAAAGGCTTCTGATGCTCTGGGTTCCTCCAGAAACCCAATGGGGAGTAAGACTCTGTGCAGGCGTTAATGCCGTGGGTCCCATTTGATGCTCAGCCTTTTCCCTGGGAAGAGCCTGGCTTTAGAAGGAGTTGAGCCCCAAGAGGGCGCTGGGGCGCCTGAAACGGTCACCGCCTGGAAGTGGGGAGCATGCAAGTAGTGATATGCGCTATCATGCGCGGGCCCCAAAAACGCTGGCCGATGTGCCTGGCTGGGGGTAGGAGCTGCCTTGCCCTCACAGCCGGCACATGGTTAGATGCACACTGTCTGCAGAGCGGCCACACTCTGTGGCAGCCAGTTGCCAAGGCTATGATGCGCTTTTGATGGATGGTGTGGCAGCCCAAATTGCCACATTGATAATATCCAGAAAGATCAAATGCCCGGAATGTCAGATTCAAGGAGGAAGAGCTCCTGTGCATGTTTTCTGGAGTTGGCCAAGGTCCCACCATCTTGAGGAGAGAAACCACTGTTCCTCAGCGTGTGATCTACCGCACCCGGCGTCCCTTTCGCACGTCCTGGCCAGGGTGGATGGCCGACCCCAGTCCAAAGGCAGGGCGGGCTGCGGATCACGGGCAATGCTTTCGAGAAGCACCCACCCACTGCTGCCCTGGAGCGGAGCGTTCCTGGCCGTCGGTCCAGCCCTCGCAGCCGCTCGTTCGCCTCGCTGGGTGGGCCGCGCATCTGCAGAAATGCCTGGCCAAAGTCCTTCTCCCATGACTCTCCCTGCTGTGTCTTAACAGAACCAGCTGCACTGTGGGCCTTGGCTGGAGATCGCACGGGGGGAACCTGCAGCCCTCTGGATGCGGCTGGGCTTCCACCTGGCCCTCTCTGACCACGTGCCCGGGCAGCGGGGGCCCTTGTGCTCTGGCACCAAACTGACCTGGGGACCACAGGCCCCCACACCGGCAGGAGGCCGTGGCTCCCATGCATGGAGGCTGGTGGTGTGCGGCCATGTGCCGCGATTTGTGGACTTCTTGCGACCCGGGCGGCACTTCTGTCCCGGCGGCAGCAGCAGGGTGTGTCCAGAGAGGGAAGCTTCCGTCTGGGCCGAACTAGGCTTGGGGCGGCGGTGACGGGGAGTCCTGGCAGAGCTTTGTCTGGGCCTCCTGTCCGCGGAAGCACAGGCGTATTTTATTTAATCGTGTTACTCAGTAAGGTTTAGTTTCAGTTATTGTTATTAGATTAAATGTATTGTTTTTCTTAGTGGAAAAAATGAAATGAAGCTCAAAGAAATGTAGAAGAAAAAGAAAAAAGGAAAGCACAGGTGTAAAACTGGTCTCAGTAGAGCAAGCGTTCTGGGTGTGGGGAGCATCGCCTCAAGTAGCTGTTGGGGTGCCGTGGGGCCAGGCGGCGCGTGCGGAGACTTTGCCCGGACACGAGGCATCCTTTGCAAGGCTGCAGTGGTTCTGAGCAGCACCGTGCGCACAAGTCTCCACCGTCCCTCCTAGAAGCCGCCCTGACTCTGCAATGTGGGAGTCGGGGAACACGCTCGCTTGGCAGAGAGCTGCCTCATTGCACTCAGTGGGACTGGCTTCTGAGCAGACGTGTGCAGAGTCGCAGTATTTATTATTAGTGATTATATTTTGATATCCCACCTTTTTTCCTTCTGAGTAACTCAAGGTGACTCACACAGTTCTCTGACTCCTCTCAATCTTATCTTCGCAACAGCCCTGTGAGGTAGGTTGCACTGAGAGTCCGTGCCTCGCTCAGAGTCACCCGGCCGGCTCCGTGGCTGGGTGGGGGCTCGAACCCGGGTCGCCTGAGTCCCAGACCTGCACACACCACCACCATACCACGTGGCCCACGAAGCCTGGCGGTGCCATCATGAAAGTGCTGCTGGCCTGCCCCTTTGGAGTGGAGGGACGGGTGCCCTGCCCTGCCTGTCTCGCAACTCTGCTTCTGCTGTCCCTCCCCAGATCCGCAAGAGGAGCAAGGCGTGCCGCGGGGGCCTGTGGGAGAACGACATGCTCCTGTCCGTCAACGGGAAGCCCTGCACGGGCCTCTCACACGCGGCCGCCATGCAGCTCATCGACGCGGCCAGTGGCACCCTCAGCATCGTGGTCAGAAGGTAACATGTGCAGCCGCGCTCGCTCTCGCTCTCGCTCTCGCTCTCGCTCTCGCTCTCTCTCTCTGTCCCCCGGGCTGGCTGGAAATCGTGGGGCCACCCCGGCAGGTCCTGGAGCATGGCTGGAGAAGCCCCCAGGAAGGGGGGCCGGAGCAGGCGTGGCAACGTGCTTGCCGCCCCTCGGCGAAGGGGGGCTGCAGGGCTGGCCGAGTGCCAGAAAGGGGGCTCTGGCGTGCGCAGGAGGGAGCGGACGATGGATGTTGGGCCATGTGGACAGGGATCTCCAGGGGTGGGGCAATAAGCAGCAGCGCGTGCTTTTGCGGGGTGGGAGGCCGAGAGAGGCCTGGCATGTTTCTGCCAGACCGGGCCGTGTGCTGGGGGCTCCTGGCCAAAGGCATGGAGAGGGGGTGGGATTCCGCGACACGGGAGGGAGGGCTGGAGCGCCAGCCGGGACTCGTTTAGGCCAAATAGGTCGGTGGCTGGAAGGCATTTCCCTCACTGGGCACCTTCCACGGGCTGGCACTGTGTGCTCGTCAGCGGCAGCATCCTGACATCACGCAAGCCCCTGCCAGAGAGCCCTGCGGCAGGAGCCACACTCTCATGGGGCCGCAGCAAAAGTTCTGGCTGGACACCTGCTTTGTGAAAAGGGCTGTCAAGGCTCTGGAAGTGTAGCATTAAGCAGGCGCTATTTGCAGCGGAGATGAATAAAGGCCAAATATAGCGTGTGCCTTTCACTCACTGAGCTTCTTTCTCACATGCAGTGGGCAGAGCAAGTTCTGGCCTGAGCCTCTGTAGGGACGACAGAAAGCCGGTGACACATTTCAGCAGCATTTGGCAGAGTCACGGTGGCCCCGAGCACCTTGCGCAGAGCAGTGCTCAGCTGTCCTGGTCATTCTGGAAGCTGCAGAAGCAAAAACATGTGCTTTCCCCCCCGAATCGTAGGGATGCCAGCTGAAATGCCACACAGCAGTTCACACCTTGTCATGGTTGAGGGCAGCCTTGAGCAGAGACCTGTGAATGACCGGCAACCAGAGTTTTACTATTTTGTCCTCAACCTGCGGGTGGATATGTGTGCACACTTGCTGGCTGCATCCTGACCATCAACGCAAAACAAATTAGAACTCAGAGTTTGCCAGAGCACAAAAGCTTCCTTTACATCACGAAAACGACTAGCTATTTTGGTGCCTAAAGATACCGATGGCAAGAGATATGCTGGAGCAAATGCGCAAGAGCCTTGGACCCGGCCCAGCGGCACATAGCTCTGCCCATGCGTGATACTGCACCAGCTGCGCTCGCGGCCTCGGTGCCATGACAGATGGCTGAGGGGCGGCTTCTGGCACGGCGGATGCTGAAAGCCCCTCGGGCCGAGACAGCACCCGAAGCCCAGCTGAAGGCCCTCCGCACTGGCACGGGCTGCGGGCGGGCGCTGGGTGACAGTGGGCCCTCCGGGAAGCCAGCCAGGTTGGTGGCCCTCCCTGGCCCTAGAAGATCCTAACAGCTTCAGGCCAGCAGCCAACTCCCCCCCCCCCCCAAGGGGCAAGGTGCTCGAGCGGGCACCCTTGCCCGAGACGGGCGGCCTGGAGCCATTTCGGTCCGGGTGCAGGCGCCCGTGTGAAACCGGGGAGCGGGGCGGCCAGGCTTGCAGTGGGCAGGCGGCAGCGCCTGGATGGCACGGTGCTCTGTTCCTGCCTTGCGTCCTCAGCAGGCGAGGCTGTGCGTGTGCGGAGCGGCTCCCGGCTGCATTGCTGGCCCGGACGAGGGCCGCCACGTGGCAGCTCGGTCCACCAAGGCTGAAATGCTGCCAGTGGGCGCTTCGCCCAGCCGGTGGAGGGAGCCCTGCTGCTCCTGGACAGGGCGCACGCCCCCTCAGGGACAGGGCCTCGGCTGGGTGGCCTGTGCAGCGCAAGGTGTCCCCCAGCAGCTCCTGCAGGTGGCTCGGCTGCACCCCCCTCTGGACAGGGTAGCAGTGCCTGTGGCTTTTATTTCTTCAGCGGTGTTGCACGTGTTGCCTCTGTGTGTGGCTGCAGGTGCAGGTGCCGCAAACGCCGCCGCTGCATTGAAGAAAGGGGCCAGGAGGCCCTGCAGGGAAGCCTCGTCTCGGCCCACGGGCACTGGCGGCCTATGTGCTTCTCAGCCACTCGGGCGCGATGCCTCTCTGCCAGTTCGCCCGGGCACGGCTGTCCGCACCCGCGTGCTTCCTCTGCGGCAGTGGCCTCTGGTCGCGGGGCGATTCCTGCTGCCCCCCAGCCCCCACCGCCCCGAGCCGCCCACCCTCTGCTTCCCGGCAGCCCCTGCCCTCTCCCCGCCGCATCACTCACCTCCCTCCACCAGCTGGCTCAGCAGGCCAGCGGTTTGCACACTTAAGTGCCGTACACGGGAACTGGATAATGAGGCTTGGTTCTTGTGTTGCTAGTCTGTCTATCCTTATTATCGTGCCGATGATGAATTTTTAGTAGAGGGCCATTTGCACCAGAGAGCTCTAGCTACTGGGTGGTATAGAAATTGAGTTGAATTGATGATGAGGCCCCAGGCCAAAAATAAATAAATCGCTGTTCATTCTGCCACCTGAGAACAGGCAGCATGAGCAGACCCGTCCCCAGGCTGGCTGTCTTCACCGATGCTCTTCTGATTGCCCTGCGGGGGGGGGGGGGGGGCGGGGGGGGGCAGGGCAGCTTGCATCTTAGCTGGCTATTGTCGGCCACCAGACTTGCTCCCGGCTCCTTGCAAGCGGAGACGTGCAGCCCCAGGCTGTGGACCGCACGGCTTTGGTTGGCAGGGACCAAACTTGTGCTGGTTCCGGTGCTCCGAACAGGCCAGGAAAACCCTTTGGCTCGTTCTCTTTTTGTGCCCGTTCTCTGCTCAACGCTTGCATTTCATCCTTTTTCTCTTTTTGGCCTTTTACCGGTCACTGCTCCGGAATCGGTGTACGAGAAGCACGTCCCCGGCCCTGCTAACAATGATCCAACCTTCTTTCCCACAGGGCAGCGAGCGGCGGCCCATCTGGTGCGAGAGCCCAGCGTTCCCCTTCCCCCAGGCAGCCTTTCCTGGGCAGCCGGGCCCCCCCGGTGCGCAGTCCCGAACCTGCAGCCCCCCCTTCCACCCAGGATGCCGAGCAGCCGCCCCAGCGCCAGCCCCACCTGGAGAACCTCACCTCCCCTCCTGACAGCGAGGCGTACTACGCCGAAACCGACAGCGACGCCGACAATGTCGCCCAGGAGAAGCAGCGCAGGGCCCGCAAGAAGAGCCCCCGCTCCCCCCCGGGTGGGCTGAACAATCGAGCCGGTGAGCCGCCGGACGAGGTGTCCCTCTCGGAGATGAGCGGGTACGACAGCACCCCCGAGGCCCCGGCACCGGCCGGAGACGGAGGAGAGGGCCCCGGTGGGGTGGCCAAGCGGGAGATCATGTGCCAGCCGGGCAGCCGCACAGACACCCCCTTCTCCGAGAGTGAGGCGCTGCTGCAGCCCCCCGAGCCCGAGGACCGGGAGCCCTCCCCAGAGGCCCTGCTCCTGCCGCACGCCACCCGGGCCATCCGGGCAGAGAGGCACCTGATCCCCATGGTCGGGCCTGTGGAGCACCCCGTGGACGAAGACCTCACCACCAGCTATGCGGAGAAAGCCAAGCAAGCCAGTAAGAGCCCGCTTCCCCTTCCCCAGTCCGAGTGGGTGGGGCTTGTGGATTTCCACGCGCAGAGCGCTAAAGGGGCCACTCAGCTCTGGCTCTGATTCTGCCTCTTCGCTAGCAGGCAAGTCGTGAGGTGCTCAGCCTGGAGCATAACCTTCCACGCTGTGTTTGGGGTGCGAGAAGAAGAGGCATTACAGAGAAAGTAGCACGATGCTCAAGGGCTGAGAAATAATTCGGGGGCGTTTCAGAAAAGCGGAAATGTGGTTTACTTGCATTGGCGTTACGTGTGTGACCCGCGCACCTTTCCCCGGGGCTCAAGGGTCGGGTGGGCAGGTGCCTTCCTTTGGGACGCGTTCCGCCCCAGCCACCACCCCAGGAACGCTGGGGCCTGCAGTGCCGCTCCTGGGCAAGTGCTTCAAGCGCACTCCGGGGCTCCGGTGAGCCAAAGCGGAGCCACCACATGCGCAGCGAGAACAGCATGCCCACTGGCCGGCCAGGAGGAGGCGGCGCCCCGCTTAGGCGGCATTCTGCTCCGGCTGCGGGTCCGCAGCTCCCCCCCCTTCGGAGCAGCCCTGCTCGGGTGCCGTGGCCGCCCGGTGTCCCGGCTCTGCGTTGAGTGACCTGAGCCGTGGGCGGCCCTGGCAGCCTGCAGCCGCCTGCACATGCCCCCCGCTGCTCGCGGCCCTCCGTGCCCGGAGGCAGCTGTCCCCGCTGGCAGGAGATCACAGCGGAGGCTTAGCGGGGGGCTGCGCGCACCAGGCACCAGAGTTCGGCTCCGACGGCAGCACGGCAAGAGGGCCACCTCATGTGCGTGGGACAGGCCTGCTGCCCCTGCTCCCGGCCCCGTTCCCGCTGCCTCGGCCCCTTAGCCCAGTGGCTCAGCCCTGGGCAGCCCGCGGTGTGGGCTGCGCTCCCTCGGGCCAGCTGCCATCCCGCGGCTCTGGCACTGATCTCTGTGGGGGGGGCATGGTGAGCGGGGGGAGGAGCTGCCCCACTGAGCCTGTTTGCCTGGGACCGCCAAACCCAGAGCCCACCCTGCGCTAACGCTCTGTTTTGCATCGCTGCCGCCTCTGCTCGTCCGGGTGGCCCCCGCCGTCTTTCCTCTCGGTCTCTTCCACTCTCCTCGGGACAGCCGATCTTGGCCAGCCCGGGCAGCATCGTTTCAGCCTGAAGGGTGCTTTCCACTTGAAACATGGGCACAGAAGCGATCGCCTGGCTGGCCAAAGAGTGCCAGTGGCTCGGTCCTGAGGGGACGGCATCACCGTGCCCTGAGAGTCGTCCCGGCTCTTCCTGGCCGTGATGAGGACGACAGCAAAGCGCTGCTGGGAACGTGCCTCGGTGGCCAGCTGGCTCCCTCCTTTGACAGCATGTACAGGGCCGAGCACATTGGAAGAAGGTTCTGCTTGAGGGGCGGGGGGAGGCAACTTGAGAGGCTACACAAAAGCAGAAAATGCCACCAGTGTTGCGCACGTCACATGGCCCTGACTTTCCGTTTTTCTGCCACCACCTTAGCCGGTGCCGTCGGGACCCCCTGCGTGCCTCACCTGGCTTGGCAGAGCCTCGGCCGCCTGCCTCCTGCGCTCTCGGAACAATGTGTTTCGGGGCTGAAATGAGGGCAGCCTGCCAGAGATGCCAGCCCCCTTAGAGCGCGCCTATTTTGCTCTCCTGAGTAATGCGCGGACGGACGAGAGGCGAGTGCTGAGCAAACCAGCTGCTCTCCTCCATCTGAGCGTCCTCGCGGTGGCTGAGCCATGCCTTGCATCACAGCTCATTTTCACAGGCAGCGTCAGTCTGGTTGGAAGGAAAGTCAGATTTTCTGCGCTGAGCAGTTTTTAGGGTGCCATAACCGAAGTATTCACGGCTGTGGAGATAATCAGAGAGAGGAGTTGACGCAAGCGCTAGTGAATCCCGGCGCTGCTTCAGATGTGACACGACGTCTGCAGGCAGCAGCTGCACGTGGGAACGAGCCTCTGAGACTGATCAATAAGTAAAAATACCTGTAGGCACGGTCCGCACTCACAGTCACACTCATCCGCCTGGGGCGGCCAGGGCCAGTCCTGCGTTCTCGGGCCACGTGCAGATGCGTGCGCAAGAAGCACACAGCGGGAGCTGTGGAAGCCTGCCTGAGCGATGGCCGGGCACCCCAGAGCACCTCCACAGCTCCCACTCCAGATCTTGTCTCCGGATGCAGAGACGCATTTTGAGTTGACGCAAAAGACCCAGCTGCTCCGGGCCGGCGGAGTTCACGGAGTGGGCAAAGCCCCCCGCACAGGGCTTTGCTGGGCCTTCCCGCAACACCACCGTCCTCCGGGGCTTTTCCCCAGCTGTCCAGCCAGTTCTGTGGCCTTTTCTAGAGGAGGAGAGCTGGGTGTCGCCGTGACTTCCTGCAGAAGGCGTGTGTGCTCTCGCAGCTGCGGCGACGCAGACTCCCGCCTGGACTGCGGTGTGTTCCGGGGTCCGGGTGGGGAGCCCAGGCGTCACGAGGGATGGGTTGCCTCCAGCAACCTGCCACTGGCCCCTCCACACCCATTGCAAGGCGGTGGGGGGGGTGAGGGGCCGCCCGCATAACTGCTTCCCAGGGCTCCATGGGGATAAGGATCCGGGCTGGGAACGGGCTCACAGTTTGGCGGGGATTGCAGCCCCGCTCCTGCCGGCACTGCCTCCGTGGGAAACCGGTGCGTGCAGAGGAAGGCCCCGCACGGTACTCTGCCGCAAGTGGAGGACCGGCACGTCCCGCCAGCACCTTGCCCGGCCTTCCAGGCGCCCCGACCGGCAGGCAGCGGCCAGCCCTGCTGAAACGGGGGCCAAGCAGCGCCGGGACACGGGCCTGGGTCGGAGCCCGCCTTGCCCGGCCGCCCCTGCGCCCGCTGCGCCCGCTCTGGCGCGCCCTTCCGCACGCCGCTTCGCCTGGACCCGAGGCCGGCCGCTTGGGCCTCCTCGTGCCGCCAGAAGCCGCCCCGCGCCGCCGCCCGCCTCCCCTGCGCCGCCGCCGGGGCCCCTCTTGCGCCGGCCTCCGGCTGGTTCCGCGAGCGCCGGGCCATCCGCCGCGCGATCTGGAGCAAAAGCCGCAGAACGTAGGGCGCCAGCCTCGGGCTGACCCACAGCTGGGCTGGACCAAGCGGCGGCACCGTCCGGGACGGGAGCTGCGCGCGAGTGCCCGCTCCCAGGGCTCGTGGGTCCCCGGCGCGATGGGGCAGCGCTGCACGGCGTGGGGCGAGAGGCCCAGGCGCGCTTCCGCTCCGCTCCGGACGGGCTGGGGTTATGGGGAGGGCGCAGACGGCGGTGGGGTCCGTGCGTGTGCCGGCTGCGCGTAGGATCACGGAACAGGGACCTTGGCAGGGCCAGAAGGCCCCCCCCCCCCCCGGTGGTGCAGGACTCCAAGTCACACCATCCCTCTCAGATGGCTCTCCAGTCTTCCTGAGTGTCTCCAGCACGGAGAGCCCCCACCGCTCCAGGCAGCTGGTCCCACTGCCCATTGCTCTTGCCAGCGAGGAAGCATCTCCCGACATCCAGCCAGACCCTGGGTTCATGGGCTCATAGACTGGTAGAGTTGGAAGGGGCAAGGCGGCCGTCGGGTCCAAGCCCCTGCCAGTGCAGGGCTTGCAGCTGCACCGTTCCGTTTAGGTGGCATGGGGCTGCCCTTGAGAACAGACCGGATACTTCAGTCGGTACAAAGTAGAGCAGGTGGCAAGAGCTGGCAGACACGGTCACACAGAGCCAGTCCTTTGCCACCCTCACTGGTTGCTGATGGGTCTGGGCCTCATCTAAGGTGTTTGTTTTGACAGATTAAGCTCTAAACAGGTGAGGGTCCGGACATCTGAAGGACTGTCTCCTTCCATGTCCCCTTGCCCACACCCTAAGAACATCCGCTGAGGGAGGGGCCTTTCCAGTGGTGGCACCCCGCTTGTGCAGGCCTGCTCTCCAGAGAGGTACGCATGGTGCCAACCCTTCGTTCATTGCGGTTCCGGGCTAAAACCTTTTTATTTACCCAGTATTTTAATGGTAAGATGATTTTACTGTATGTTTTATATACTGTATGTTGCATTCCAAGTGATGTTGAGGGTTTTATTGCTGCTTTCCTGCCCTTACATAAGCCATCTGGCGATCCTACATGGATTTGGGATGGCATATAAATATTTTAATTAAATGAATGAATGAATGAATGAATGAATGAATGAATAAATAATAGGAGATCCTGGGGGTGCCAGAGGCTGCTTGGCCGAGGAAGCTGAAGCTGGGTTTTCCTTGCAGGCGGGAGAGGGCTTCCTGGGCCAGTTGGCCACAGGGTGCATCCAAGGTGCCGCATTCCTAGAAAGGTATGGAGGGCTGGCAGCAGCCTCTTCTGCTCACCACCTTCCCATGAGGTCCCCCCTTCCTTCAGCCACTTCTCTCTCCGTGGAAGATTCATTACGAATGAAAAGATGCACGGGCTGCTTGCAGCCGTCTGATTAACGGTGCTGGGGGCTTCTGCCAGCCTGGAGCCACCCAAGAGGAACGTGTCGGTGCCAGAAGGCACCCCGGGGCATCTAGGGCCAGGCGGAATGTGCTCTGTAACACACCTGCCTTTGAGCAGACTGGAAATACTTTGGAGTCCAAAGGCACCTTCATAATAAATTACAGGCTAAAACAAAGCAAGGAAACGTGGAGCACATACGAGAGCGTGCAGCTGCTCTTCATCTCTGACTGCGGTCGTGTGGCTTTCCACGAACCGTGACATCAGCCTGGAAAACTTGCTTTGGCTGCCAGTGCTCCCTCGGCTTCGACTTATTCTTGCCACAGAGCACCAGTTGCTCTTTACAGCTAATAGGTAAGGCTGTGAACAGGGACCAACTCTAGGACGCGACGCGCTCAGCATGACGCACTTGTAGCCCAGGTCGTTTCAGTGGCGATGGCGTGAGCAATCTCCCTGCGAGGCACCCTGCGAGGCACCCGAGCCTTGATCCGGCTGGACTGTGCTCGCGCTGGGCGTGAGCGTGGCACCGTGCTTCTCCAAAGCAGCCCGCACAGTGCTGTTTTGCGTGGCAGGGCGCCACTGCCTTTCCGTTCAACTTCGGGCGTATCCTACTCACAGAAATCTCCCGAATGGATTGAGCCAGGGCAGAGGCTAAGCACTTGTCTAGGCAGGGCTCTTATTTTGCACTTCTTTTATTTGTCTGTCGGTCTCTTCCCTTTTTATGCCACCCAAGAGCTGAGGCACTGCCTCTTCGGCACCCACTTTCCCTGTTTCTTTTTGGAATGGTGGCGGTTTTTGCAATTCCAGACTCCCGCGGCCGCCTTCCACCCGCGCAGCCGTGGCCTTCCGCGTCGCTCACTGAGTGCTGGGGGGAGTGAGAGCACTGCCTGATCTTAGTTTCATCTTCACCTGGCCATTTCTGGTCCAGTATTCTTTTGAGCATCTGCTGCAGGAAGGCATGGAGATGGGGTAGAGCTATCCTGGACAGAATAGGGTTGATTCCCTTTACCAGACAGTACCTACCCGTGAAAAGATCATGTCACGAAATGCACCGAAAGACAGGAGAGGAAAACCAAACATGTAGAGATCCAGTGTTAATCCTGCCCAGATTCCAGAACCAGAATTAGCAGCTGCAAAGTCTTGACTCCAAAGTCTGCGGCAACCCCAAGACTTCTGTCCCGTGTCCACACAGACACGAACTCCTGCATTCACCTCATCACAAAGGAGCAGCCTGCTTCAGCCTTCCTCAGGCACCGTGGCTTAGGCAGAAATGCCCACCGGAATCGCGGGTGGTCACAATTTAGCGCAGACTGCAAGTGGCGCAGCCGCCGAGCTGGCTTGTGGGAGCCTGGGCGGTGTTGCCACATCTCCGCCTGGTGTGCGAATGCCCCCCTCCCCCCGTCACTAACCTGTTCTGCAGAGGTTTCTTGCTGCTCACATTCAGTGGGGAAGGGATGGTTCCTCACACCTGGCTGGCTCCCCTTTGCAGGCACAAAGATGCAGTGCAGGTGCGCGGCTGGGTCTGAAGACCCCAGTCGCTTCTGGAAGGTGTGGGGGACGTGAGGCAGCTTGCAGCCCCTGCAGTGCAAGGATTATAAGCTGCCCATGGTGTGTCCTGCATTCATGTGGGGGCAATTTTGGTGTGCATTTAATAAATCGAGCCTTCGTGCTCTGGATGGCTGCGACATGCATTACGGGCATGCTGTCACTTCAGACTGCGCTGCGAGGCAGAAAGATCCGGTGAATCCATGACGCTCGTCTGGGAGGGGCAAGTGACCTGCTGAAGCACTTGGGTGCAGTAACCATTGTTGCGAAGCCCCAGTGAATCCCACGAGGGAGTAGCGCAGCCCTCCGCTCTCCTGTTCTGATTCTGGCCCTTGTGCTGCTCGAGCGACGCGATCCGAGAAGCAAGAGCTGCCTCGGGGCACCTGGTTGCTTGGCTGGTGAATAAAAGCCCCATAACTTCCCTGCCAGGGGCCCGTCCTGGGTGGCTTCGCGTGATTGCACCAAATCTCGCTCACTCCTTCGACAAGGTTTCCTGCCCAGCTGCAGCTCTGGGGAGAGCGAGCGGCGGCCCTCCCGGCATGCAGGGAAGCAGCGGCTCCTCGGCAACAGGGCGAGGGCCCAGCACGTCGCTTGCCACTGTGGCCACTGGCCGATGATCTGAGGCTGTGGAAATGGAGCCCCATGAAGGGAAATGCTCTTGGTAACTCTGGTGGGCTTATTCCGAGAGATGGATCTAGATGGGGCAGGAGTAGCCAAGTCTGCATATCCACATGATGTCAGCTCCATTCATGGCGTGTGTGTGTGTGTAAGGGCAGCATCAAAGTATGTGCACAGGTGAGGAGAGCGGATGCTTCTCCATCCATCGCCGCCTTGCACTGCCGCCCTGGGGGCCTGAAGCACTTCACTCCGGCTGTCACGGCTCCGACACGGGATCCAGGCCGCGACAGAAGGTTTGCCCCAGCAGAGCTTTGCAAGGGCAGGTGGGGGAGGCAGAGCCCGGCCCGGCTCCACCGCATGCAGGGCTGGCTGCCCAGGCAGCGCCCCTCCTCTGCCCGAGCGCAGGTGCTCACAGGAGAAGCATCGGGGCAGAGAGGAGGACGCTGGCTGCGCCTTCTGCTGCATCAGCCGGGGGGCCTCGTGGATGAGCCGTGCACCTCTGAAAGCGAAGCTGGGGCTGCCCTCGCAAGGGGAGGGATCAGGGAAACGGGCATTGCCACGAAATCGCACTGCGCGTTGCACAGAACCCCGCCATATTACTCCTGCGCATAACTGTGGTTCCATTGGTGGGGTGGGATGAGCCACCTTATTTTAAGCCGCAGCTCTGGGAGGGGGCAGGCAGTGGAGCAAGCGCCCGACAGCTGACAGTGTCCATCACCCTCCTCAGTGATGACATGTGGGGGTAAAAATAGAGCGAGTGACCTCATGGCTTTCAGCAGCAACACCAGAGAGACAAAAGAGAGGCTTTAAAAGGCCAGTGGAGTTGCAACCGGAGGGCCTTGGCCGTCTTGGGATTTTGGTTCTACTCCAGTCCTCCCTCCCTCCCTCCCTCTCTCTCTCGCTCTCTCTCTCTCTATGGAGTGCTGTGAGTTAAACGGGGTATGTGACATGCCTGTCTCTCCAGGACTGGATGCTGCTTTCGAGAGCATGGACCAACCATATGCAGGTACCCATTTCCTTCCTGTTCCAAACCTTAGTCAGCTTCCTCCCAGAAAGTTCCCCCTTTCCATCAGCTTATAGGGTTTTGCTTTGTTTTTGAATGACCTGCAGGCAGGGGAGGGTTAGGGTTAGGGTGAGAAAAAGAGAAAACGCAAGAGAAAATGTGGCTGCTTAGCTTTTGGATAGTAGGAAGTGGGCTGAGAGCCAACCATGGACATTGGAAGACCCTTTCTGGGCTTCTCCACACTGTGCAGCGCCTGGCTGCTCAAGGAGTCCATCCTTTTAGAAGTGACAGTTGAAATTATCAGTGGTAGATTCAGCAGATACAGGAGAAATTACATCCACAAAAATTCAGAATTAACGAAGGACTTCACTGCTACAGAATGTGCTTTGGGCCCTCTAAGAGGGAAGTGGGCCCCGTTGTGGAGGCCCGGCTGAGCGGCAGCATCCCCCGGGACGACGAAGGGGGTCCCTCCCCTTCTAGGGACTCCTGGCCACCAAGTGCCAGTGGGCTGGGGGGACCTGGGGAGGCCTGCTGCCCCCCACCCCACAGGCTGCTGTGAGGCTTCCTGGAGGCAGGATAGTGGGCCACGTGCTTCCGTGGTCGGGCTTGCGTAGTTCCGAAAAGCAGGCTTTGGGTTTGTCAGAATTTTGGCTGTTCTCTCTCCTCTCCACAGTGACGATTGCGCTCACTGTTATTCCTGTTGCCCGAGTATGACAGCAGCGAGCAGAGGGCAGGCTGTTCTTTAATTTCTTATGCTGGAGCATGGCCGACAATTTTCTTGGGAGTCACAAGCCTTGGGCAGCTGCAACTTCAGCCAGAACTTTCCCGCCTTAGCTGAATCCTTCCTGTTTAAACTGCCAGGGCCTGCCGCATTTTGGGCAGTGCCGCACCCCTTCCAGTCCCTGCAATCAGATGGCAGGCAGAATATCAGTGCCCGAATGTAAGCGGTGAGCCCCGCCAGCCCGCACACCGACACACGTGAGGCTCAGCCGGCGCTAGGGAGTTCCTCAGTATCGCTACTTTGCTTCGCGTCCGTCCCAGTGCCGTCTGCCCCTCCTGTCTGACCCTCACCAGGAGGGGAGCCGACAGCATCCAAGCAGATGTATTTAGGTGGAGTGGGGGAAGCCCACAGGCCCTCGGCCCTTCTTCAGGCTGTGGGGAGACCTTTTGCACGCTGGACCAAACCTCTGGGTGCTCCTGTGGTTTGGGCCTGTGATTCTGATGCGTCAGTCTGGGAGCGGGCTGGTCCAGGGGCCCTCCGTGGAGGGGGAGCCAGGCCACCGTGCTTTTCCAGGCATCTGAGGAGAAGCGCAGAGTGCACCAAGGCTGTTTTCGGCGGTGCACTAAAAATGTGTTTGAAGCTCACGCTTTTTATGTAATGTACGGCATCTTTTCACGGAGAAGGGAAGTGAGAAAAGAAACTGAAAGTGCATGGCAGTGAAAGCAGGCTGTATAGTTTGATACGAACTGGTTTAAAAGCATCCTGAGGGCTTTTGGCTAGCCGAACGGCCTATGAAAGCCCTAAATAGAAAGACAGACAGACAAAAAGCCAATGTATGTCCCAAAGCGATCTTGATGCACTGCTCGAAACTCCAGCACCCACTGGAATCATGACCGTTGTGTTTATTGTAAGCGATTGCCATCCTCAGGACGGGTCCGCAAGGTCTAGCAACTAATTCACCTTGGCTGCACGATTTTCTCCTCAAGGGCCCCCAGGCGCACCTTCCCTGCCGCCCACCCTCTCCGGGCGTGCGAGGGCCCAGCACGCTCAGCCGGGCAGCGCATGCAGCAGAATGACCTGGACCGGGGCGTCTCCAGGGGCCCACTGCGGGAGTGTCCCTTCCATTTTTAGAAAAGGTGCCCCATCGGCCGAGGGAAAGCCAGCCTGGCCTTGTGCAGCAGGGGCCGATTTCCCCCCGTTGTGGGGAGCTTTCGCGCTCTGCATGTGGACGGGCCCCATCCCATGAAGCTGTCGTGCGGCCACCCCAGGGGCGGAGGTGGCCAGCGCGGGTGTTTTCAAGGGCTACTGCTGCCCGACTCGCCCACGGAGGCACCCAGGGCCCAGACGCTCCTTTTCTCTGCTTGCCCGGTACAGCGGGGGGGGGGGCGGGGGAGAGGGCGGCCAGGAAGGCTCCCGGGCGGGCAGAGGCGCTTCTGCCCGGGCGCGGGAGCGACGGATCCGGCCCCGGGAGCGACGGATCCGGCCCCGCGGCCCGTCCCGCTCCCGCCCCCGACGCCTCTCGCCTTGTTCCCGCAGAGCTGCACCGCGGCGAGAGCGTGCAGGAGAAGAGCGTGAAGGAGGCCAAGACGCGCTGCCGGACCATCGCCTCGCTGCTCACGGACGCGCCCAACCCGCACTCCAAGGGCGTCCTCATGTTCAAGAAGCGCCGGCAGCGCGCCAAGAAGTACACGCTGGTCAGCTTCGGCAGCGTGGACGAGGAGCGCGCCGGCGACGAGGAGGACGGCGTGCTGCCCACCAGCGAGTCCGAGTTCGACGAGGAGGGCTTCTCGGACGCGCGCAGCCTCTCCAACCACGCCGACTGGGACAGCGCCTACCTGGCCGTGGAGACGTCGCGCCAGCGCCCCGCCGCCGAGCCGCAGCCGCCGCCGGGCCTCAGCGACGCCTCCGGCCGCGGCGCCCAGCTCTTCGAGCGGCAGAGGCTGAAGGCCGGCCGGCCCGCCGGCGCGGACGCGGACGCGGATGCGG